GTGGACCGGTCTCTGCTGGAGTCTGAGCTGAAGGAGTTTCTGGTGAACCTGCATGAGTTCATCTGGTTTCACCAGAATCCGACCCGGTGGCCCTGATGACGAGCATTAAGAATAACTCTATAGAAACAGACCATCTTCTTTCTGGTGGTCTCTTTACTGATGGAGGTCTGATAGAGGATCAGGAGTAAACTGAGACTGGTTCAGGACCAGTTAAAAGTTCCTCACAGTAACTTTAAATGCAGTATGAAAACTGAACTCTTGTATCTCAATTTTACAGATATTGACGACGTCAAACTAACAAATTCCAGAGTGATCAACAGCTCCTTCCACCACAACAAGACAGGCTGTCAGATGACATTCGATGACGACTACAGCGCCTACTGGGTCTACTTCGTCAACTTCCTGGGAACGCTGGCCGTGCTGCCCGGAAACATCGTCTCGGCCCTCCTCATGGACAAAATAGGACGTCTCAGCATGTTAGGTATGACATAACGTTCTCTATGAAGAGCTGCTTTATTTCTCCTGCTGCACCTTTAGTCCGTGACGTGACAGGCGTGTGGCATTGTGTCCTGCAGGAGGCTCCATGGTGCTGTCAGGCATCAGCTGCTTCTTCCTGTGGTTCGGCACCAGCGAGTCCATGATGATCTTCATGCTCTGCCTCTACAACGGCCTCAGCATCTCCGCCTGGAACTCCCTGGATGTGGTCACCACCGAGCTGTACCCAACAGACAGGAGGTCAGTCACAGTAATTTAAACGGGAGAGAGTGTCCGTGATGCATCACATGAATCCAGGAGAAAGATTTTAGTGAAATAATTCATCTACTAGTTCTGAAAAAGCCAACAGCTGAGGATTATCAATCCAATGTATCCACTGTGCACTGTGTTCCAGAAAAGCCACCATGTTCTTCTGCTGTAGAACAATCCTGAGCAATTTACTCCTTCAAAAAAGAAACTACTTTAAATTCTGACTCTCCCTCTCTTGTGTCTCCTTGTCTCCTTGTCTCCAGGGGAACAGGCTTTGGCTTCTGTAACGCCATGTGTAAGCTGGCTGCGGTGCTGGGCAACCTGATCTTTGGCTCGCTGGTTGGCATCACCAAAGCCATCCCCATCCTGATGGCGTCATCTGTGTTGGTTGGCGGCGGGCTGGTGGGGCTCCGACTGCCAGACACTCGCGCCAATGTCCTCATGTAAACCTCGACACGGAACAGCGTGTTGTTCACCAGGTGTTTACTCAGCTTACTGAATAAATCATCAGTCACGGACTCTGATTCATGTGAATATCACCGAAACAAGCATTGCTGCCATCCATCTTGTTTTTTTATTATTTGATGAATGATGTTCTCAAACAAGTACCGGACAAGTGATTGTTATTCTGTTCTATCTGAGTAAAATACCTGGTAAATAATACAGGTTAATGCAATGAGCCGTAGATATAGAGAGTCCAGAAACAAGTGGTGATTAAAACTCTGTATATCAGCAGCTCGTTAGCTGTTTCACACATGCAACCCACTAATGCACGAGTCAAAGCTGCAAGAGGCTTGGACGGCCCTCAACCGTCCCCTTTGGAGTCCTGCTCAGATAAAAGGAATAGTTTGACGCTTTTGGAAACGTGCTTATTCACACACTAGCAGCCAGTTAGCTTAGCATAAAGACTGGAAGCACGCGGAAGTGCTAGTACAGCTCTGTCCAATGGTAGAAAAACAAAATCTGCCTCCCAACACCTCTAAAGCTCACTAACTAACACGTCATATGTTGTTTGTTTAAACTAAAAGACATTGTCGTGAGCAGTTTCATGTATTTAACCATAGTTTTTACATGAAACTGCTCTCAACAAGGTCTCCCATAAGGTCTGTGGATTATCTTGAGTAACCGGGTCATGATTACTGGAAAGAGTCATGCTGTTGAGTTGTTCAAATGTATTTTTTGGCGCTTTGAGCATCATAGGCAGAGTGTTTTCTAGACCCTTGACACCCCAAAACAATCTAGACTGATAAATAGCTCTACAGGTACGAAGAAAAACAGGTATTTTTGATTTTGGGGTGAACTGTCTCTTTAAGAATTTTCAAACAACAGATTGTGGTTTTAAGAAGGTTTATGAGCCGGACTATTTTTTGGTTAGGTGCAGAGCCAGGCTAGATTTTTCCCTCTGCTTCCAGTCTTTATGCTAGTTAACGTCTGGCTAACCTAGTTAATGTCTGGCTAACCTAGTTAGCCAGACATTCATTTGGTCTAAGTCTCTAGTCGTTCTTTCTCGGTCAAGTCGAGTCAAGTCACAGGTTATTTAAGTCAAGTAAAGTCAAGATACTTCAGTATTACCTTCAGTATCCTGTCTTTACAAAGAGAAGATACGAGGTATTAGTACCTGTCCAGTAATGTGTGATATTTTAACTGAAAACATGAAATGAGCACATGAACTGATCAAGTCATGAAAACAGTGACTCGAGTCGACTTGAGTCCAAGTCACAAAGACTCGAGTCCTCGTCTCTGTAACTGGCTGCTGTCAGTCGCTTTATCTTTGACATAATCTTCTCTTTTAACGTTCAACAAAATGTGGAACTATTCCAAATCATTTTGAAACAGTCTTTTATGTGATTATGCTTCTTTACTGGTAAAGCTATATATTTAGTAATTTATGTATTTATAGTATTTATGTTAGTTATTGCTTCACCGGTGTGCTCTTGACCTCCGCTTCTACACCTGAGACCAGAACTCCACTGACGGTTGAACACGTTCGAGCCTTTTGCTGCAACTTGCAAGAATGACAAGGCCATAATTAAAGAAAATAAAAAAAATCTATAACGATATCGTAGTTTAGTCAAAACCGGCAACTTCAGCAGCTACATTTCTAAAGTGAAAAGAAGTTTACATTTTCTGCTTTTTACAGTAAGAGACTTTTGAGATTGGAACCCTTTTTGTCTGAATGCTTCCTCTCTCCCTCTCTCGTGTCTGTGTCGTGTTCGTCTTGTGGCACCGAGCTCATCTTGTCAAGAAGAATTTATACTCTGCTGTTATAATCTGCTCTTCTCCTCGTTTCTTTGTCTCACCGTCTTGGTTTCCTCATCGTGTCTTGTCCTCTTGCCTTGCTGCTGCTGCTCCCTCCAAAACTCAAAGGCCTTTCTCAAATGTCGTGCCTCTCTCTCCATTGAGCCCGTCTCTCCTTCCAAACCTTTGCAGGAAGCTTTGCTGCTCTGTCCTGCTTTTTTCGTCTCTCATCTCTTGATACTGCAGTGTGTGTGTGTGTGTGTGTGTGTGTGTGTGTGTGTGTGTGTCTAGACAAACCCTTATAATATTCAAACCCGGTCGCAAGAAGAAATTGGCATTGTACGTTTTTTGTAAACAACGGAACATCTTGGATGTTGACGTATCTATACCAAAAAGTAACGTAACAACTTAACAACGTATCAACTTAACAACGTATCAACTTAACAACGTATCAACTTAACAACGTATCAACTTAACAACGTATCAACTTAACAACGTAACAACTTAACAACATGACAACGTAACAACGTGACAGCGCAATGTGATATTGAACTTGACAGCGTAATGCGGAAGCTTAAAGGGACAACGTAACGTAACTATATGACAACGTGACGGCGCAACGTGACGCGGTAGCTTTATGCGTCAACTTAACACGACAGCGTGAAGTGACAACGTAACGTGACGGTGTGACAGCATAATGTCACAGCATTACGTCACAACGTAACGTTACAACTGTAACAACTTAACTACTATTAATAAGCTTAGATGCCTTTTTTACGTAGCTTTTCATAACAAGTGCAACGTTGGGTGAAAATCACACAAACTTTTGGTTTAACACGGACACAAACAGTGGTCTCTTGGGGGAAAGTCGTGTGTTTAGTATTTTAAAAGTCCTATATTTTTTTTTTGTCCCATCCAATATTCTTCCACCATTAGTGGACATTATTGCTTGTTATACTCATTACAATACCACATGACTTTTAATAACGGTCGCTCGATATACTACGTCACTTGCTCTGACTGAATGCAAAGATTTTGACGTATCAATGGTTTACAGAAACGCACATTGCCAACACTTGTTCCTGGCAACTTGGCTTGTCTTGTGTGTGGAAACCCAAGTTGTTGTTTTTTTTTGTTTCTATACCTGGGAAGTGTTTTTAGAGGATTTGAACTACATGATGAAGTGAAAATAAAAGCCATGCTTAAAGGATCAGTTCACCCAAATTCCAAAAATACATATTTACTAGCAATACAGATAGTGGACACCAGAGTCAGTAGGGTTCATCATCTGGGGACCATGAATATTTGTAATGTCATAGCAAACAGTCAATAGTTGAGATATTTTAGTCTGGATTGTGACGTGTCTTTCTAGAAACAGTGTCCTGGTTCCTCACACTGTGAACAGATTTCCTTCATAGAAAGAAGATCCAGTAAAAAGAGTGAGAGTGAGGATGTGGATTATCCAAATTACATTTTTCAATGTTGCTCCTCAAACAAACCTCCATTCACCTCCATTGTAATGAGTTTGAAGCAGAAATGTCAGAGACGGATATCTGGACAAATAAAACTACCTGCGTGGCTTCAAACCAAATAAGAAAATATGTTTTTATTGTGATTTGGGTGAACAGATCTTTTAAAACCTTTAATGAATTAAACTCTTGCTGCTACAATGTTAAAAAAAAGGCATTAGATAATTTGTAAAATACTCACTTCTGGGTTTGTTCAATCATAGAAAAAAGTCAAATAACACAAAAAATACAGCACTGTTTCATTCAGTTATTCTGAAATCTGTTCCACGATGATAACATGCAGAATGTGATGTTCTGTTGCCATATTTCTGAACAGCACATTTGTGCAGTACATGACCTCCTCCATGCAGCTATTTCCTTTTTTAAGATGACATTTCTTTGGACTGGAATGCAACCGTTTGAATCTGTTTTTCCTGATGTTTGATGCTTTGTCTCTGCTCGTCACCTCCACTTGTGCTGGACAAACAACACTCTTCATCCCTTTTTCCAAAAAAAGAAGAAGATCCTGCATGTTTGTTACTGAAGTCCTTCTGTTGTCTGTGCTTTTTTTCCATGTTGGTGTCTTTCGCTGTTTCCTCTGCGGGGGTGGGTGGGGGGTCGGGGGGGACAGACATGTGATTCCCGGGTCAAAGGTGAATGTATCATTCTCGTGTGTTGTCAGATTTGTTGTGGACAGGTGTTCATTGTACTCAGTTGACTTCTAGGTCATTGTGAAAGGGCATGCTCGTGGTGAGATGACTGTATGTACTACAAGTTGTTATCCAGCAGAGAGCGGGGGTCCAATCTGTGAAGGTTTACAGTTAGATTCTGAACCAGATTCATGACTTTCAGATTTGAAAACCTCTGCTGTGAAACAATATGTAGAGGTGTGTGTAAAAAAACAAACTATTACCTGTCCTTGATATGATTTATTTTGATAAGAAAAGGCTCAAGTGAACGCAGTGTAAAGGTGGATTCCTCTGGTGTGTCTACACGTTGAATAAAGAGTTTCATTTGAACAGCTGTGGGGCTTCATTCACTGTGTTCAGTGTGTGAATGTGTTTGCATCCCTTTACACCAGCAGAGGGCCCCGTTTATATATACAATAAACCATGACGTTTGTTGCCGAGAAACTTTGTTTGACGTTTCTGCAGCTTCAGTCTGATCTTCTATCTCGTTGTGGTTCTTCATGTCAAACAGTGCTGAAGATGGTTCAGTGGTTAAGGACGTTGACTGCAAACACTGCCACGCGGGTTTAAACCCCGCGTGAGGTTAGCCACCCTAGAATGAATGTGCATCACTGTGGTTGCATTTGTGAGCTCTAAAAAAACACAAGCTCATGTGAGCCCAGGGTGACGAACTAGCTAGTCAGGCCTTTTTTCACGTTATCTGCAGTGATTTAGTCTGCAGGCTGTGATGAGCTGATCATGTGACCTTCACCTGCATATTACGTAACACACTGTAAACCTGCCGTATTTAGGCTGTTAAGGGATTCTCTGCATGCTTTCAGTTAAAATTGGTAAATGTTTACGGTTAAAGAACCAACACTTTTAATCGTGTTTAAAAAAAGAAATGCTAAAATAGTAGATAAAATATGATCAAGTGCTCAATAATCAACCATTTTAAAGTTTAAAATAGTTTCTTAGTGTCAGACACTCATATATATTTAGACATTAGCCTCAGACTTAGTGTTTCCAGACAGATAAAGTCACAAATAAATCATTTCAGGAACCTGTTTTTTACATTTCTATATGTGTCTCTGTGTGTGTGCGTGTGTGTGTGGGTGGGTGGGTGGGTGTGTGGGTGTGTGTGTGTGTGTGTATGTGTGCGTCATCCTACATCCTGTTGATTGGCAGGAAACTCCCCCGGTGGAGTTGGTATTTCCTTCAGTGATAGTTTAATGATTAATTCTTCTCTTGAGGAAGTCAAAGGATGAGATAAAGACAAAGCACTAAACATCTTAAACAACTATATTATTATATCAAATATATATATATATAGATATATATATAGATATATATATATAGATATATATATAGTGAGGCTATATGTACAATTTCTAAATTGTAGAACAGCTTGGCTGTACGAAGAGGAATTCACACAAAATCATCCAAGTAAACATTAAACACAACATCAGACGTAATGAAGTTTATGTTGTACTCATGGTAGCTCCACATGTGATAACAGGAATACAGAAAGTACTCAGCAGTATAGTTTTCTAGTCTGTTTCATGTTATTCTTTGTCAGCTATAAACTTCAAGCAAAAATCAACACAAATATGAAAAAAATACTTTTGTGTTATTTTAAGCTGTACAGAATGAAAATATTAAAAAAACTACACAAAACCATTAATGATCAAGTGTTTGATACATAACTGCATTCTTTCTTTTCATTATTTACACTCGTAAACACACATCAACATATTTACCATCTGTCTTCTCATTCCCTCTCTCTGACTCACACACATGTAAACTTTATTCTATAGAGAGCACATCTAATGCAACACATACGTTAGTCCATTGCTTGTTTATCATAAATACAATCAGGGTCCTTTTGCTTTCTCTTTGGATTCCAGCCACAGAGAAAATCTCCCTCTCAATCTGCTGCACAGTTTTTGGTTCAGGTCCCTCTTACACAGACAGGCTGAGGGTCTTGCCTTTAAAGCCCCTGGAGTAAAGCGTGGCGCCTACAGACTTGGACATGACAACGAAGAGGAAGGGGTCCAGACAGGCATGGAGGCAGCACAAACACACCGCCACTTGGAAGTGCACGTACAAACTATCCGTCCCGTCCGCGAACAGCTGCACGTAGTGGACGAAGTGCAGGAGTCCGGCGGGAGCGAAGCACAGCAGGAAGATGACGAACACCAGCGAGCTGGCCTTGATGTACATCGTCCAGTCGTGGTGCGATCGGTTGAGCTCGCACACGATCCGGCCGTAGCACACGACCGTGACCACCAGCGGCGCCAGGAGGCCGAAGACGGTCAGAATCAGGTTGTAGTAGAGCAGGAAGAAGTGGGAGTCGTGGCCCAGGGGCAAGACGTCGTGGCAGGTGATGCGGTCGACCTCGGGGAGCCGGTAGCTCTGCTGGACGAGCAGTTCGGGGACGACGGCGGCGCCAAACACCCCCCACATGGCCACCGTGACCCAGGCCGTGAACATCCTCTTGGGGAGACTCTTGTACATGAACGGGTGCACCACGGCCAGGTAGCGCTTGACGCTGATGCAGGCCAGCGTCTGAGCCGAGCAGTAGAGGTTGCCGTAGAAACAGGCCGTGACCACCCGACAGGCGGCCTCCCCGAGCACCCAGTGGTTTCCAAGGAAATGGTAGTGGGCCTTGAAGAAGAGGGAGAGGAGGAGGAAGAGGTCGGAGACGGCCAGGCTGCAGTAGAGGATGGCGGAGGACACCTTCCTGATCTTGGAGGCCAGCGTGCACAAGATGGCGACGTTGGCCGGGATCCCGGCGGCAACGACCAGCATATAAACGACGGGGATGACCCGCGTGCTCAGAGGCCCGCGGAGGTACCCGACTGTGCCGTTGCTTAGGGACCGCAGTGCTGGAGCAGGATGAGATGAATTGGGAGCTTGAGTCCCATTGGGCACTGAAAGGACTTTGGGCTGATGGATGAGGATCCCTCCAAATGTTCTGGGCACAGGAACCTCAGAGCTGTTCGTCTGCACTTTGTTTCTCCTGTTCCCTGCAACAACAACAAGAAAATGCAAATGTGAATGATGTTTTTCATAAGATTTTTTATACTATTATGCAATATTCTTCCATCTAAATAAATCACTAATAATGAACCAATGAGACTGCAACTAAAAATGATGTTCATGAATGAATAATATGTTGATTATTTCCTTAATACATTGTTTTGTGTAGCATATACAACTTATAATAGTAAAACTGTTTACTAAAACACAAAGTGACACCTTCAGATTTATCGGACCAACAATCTAAAACCAAAGATGTTTAGTCACCGGTTGTTTCAGACGTGATCTTCATAATAAACCAACTTGTGTCGTAAAACCTGATTTTCACGCGAAAGAGTGTTTTTTCTGTGGTTGAAGAAGTGTTCACATCCTTGTTTGAGTGTGATAAGTAAAAGTTTTGAAAGTGCAATAAAATGTTCTCTTTCAGTGTTTCTGGATTAATATTCCTGCTGCATTAATGTGTATGTTGCATGTTAACTCCTTTATATCCTGTTGTCTAGTTTAATCTACATCAATGCATCACATTCTATAAGATCATCATATGTTTGTAGCGTCTCTGTCCTGTGAGAACCACGTATCTCTAAAAAGAACAAACAGCCTGTTTTCAGCTTTGTGATGTTGAATTTTCCAGCTGATCCAAGAGGCTTTTTAACACTTCATCCTTCAGTTTATCACAAACATTCATCATCAACACATAAAGGAACACTTCATCCTTCAGTTTATCACAAACATTCAACATCAACACATAAAGGAAACACTTCATCCTTCAGTTTATCACAAATATTCATCATCAACACATAAAGGAACACTTCATCCTTCAGTTTATCACAAACATTCATCATCAACACATAAAGGAACACTTCATCCTTCAGTTCATCACAAACAT